AGTCCTAAATGAGGTCACATTCAAGGTCCTGGGGGTTAGGACTTACCATTCAGTCCTTTGCCTTAAGCCAAGAGGTCCCTCCAGCTCTGCAGTGTAAAGAGGTCCTGGGCTTGGTGGGCTCCAGCCAAGGACAGGTTTCCAGGGAGAGGGAAGGCCTTCCCCCCAGGCCGCTGTCCTGCCCTCTCCTTTCTGTGGTCTCGCCCACCCCCCCGGTGGGCTCTACTCCAGCTGGCCCTGGGGCGTGTTCTCCCGGAGACCCCCTCCCTCTGGGAGGAGCCGCACTGGCCATCCCACCACCAGGCTGCGTGGCCAAGAGTCACAGCTGCTCCCCAAAGGCGCTCCAGGTCCCACGGGGCTCTGACTTCGTGCCCACCATTCCCAGTTTCATGGACGAGCAGCACCCCCACTACCCAGCTCTGAGACCAGTGCACGCACCGTGCACACTGCACGCACAGTGGTGGCCACACACCTGTGAAGGGCCCACTTTTCCCCTAGAAAAAGGAAGCTTAAGGCGTCTGCCCCCTCCTCTCTTCTGTGCAGATGGGCCATTCGTGTCCCGGGCCCTCCTGAAGCCTCCAGCCCCACGTCACTCTCCTGCCTGGGGTGGGCGTGGGGGAGCACAGTAGCTAACTTCTTAATTTTAAATAATTCTAGTAAGCAGCAAGGGAGAAATAAGTGCCTACAGCTGCCCAGGGCCTGGATCTGGCTGGGTTTGATGGAGCTGCCTCAGTTCAGAGCGTGGGTTGGTGGAAGTCTATCTCCCTGGGCTCGCGCCACCCCTCTGGGGCCTGGAATCGGGAGGGCGCCTCCGCCGCTTACTGCCTGAGGACAGAACTAGGGTGGCCCTTGGCCCGGGCAGGGGTCACAGGCTGCTGGTCACAGTCTGGATGCTCTGGTGGGAGGATTAAACCCCACTCCCGTGGGTAGCTGGAGGGCCCAGCTGCAAAACTGAAAAAATAAATAAATAAATAAATAAATAAAGAGCGGGCTGGAGAAATAAAGGGGAAAACAGCGATGCGGAGCCCCAATTGCTAGCAGATGGTGCTAGTATTAGGAAAATGAAAATACATGCAGTAAATTTGCTGTTTGCCAGTGTTAATTTCTTATCCCAAGGTAGAGCCTCCCCCCTGGCCCTGGCCACGCCATCTGCATGTTCATAAAACACATCGCAGCAGGATGGGTTGGGTAGCAGTGTGCACGTGGGGCCCCGGGTGGTCGGGCTCCACGGGGGCTGGGCAGGGGCACAGATGCACCTGCTGGGGTCCTGGGGGCCAGCCTGCGTGCCCCCCACCTTCCCTGGGCCCCGGGTGTGGTGGGGGCTTCTTAGGTCAGGCCCCTTGTTGGTCTTGCCCCATTGTTGGTTGGAAGGGTGGCAGTTAGGACCAGAGAAAGGTCTCCCACCCCTGCCAAGGTGTCCCCAAGGAGTCATTACTGCCAGGCGGGTGATACTTGATCTGGGCTGGTGGTCCCCATCTTCCCCACCCATACCTTCCTGAACTCTCCCTCGAGTCCCCTCCCCGAGACTGTTTCATGTACAGCAAGTAAAGAGTTAAGGGTTTGCAGGACAGGCAGCTCGGGCCCTGCCTCAGCCACTGGCCCTGCTGGACAGGTTGTTCCGTGTTCTAGTGTCATCCCTGTAGCTGCCCCTCTATAACCCGCCACCCTCGGTCTGCCTGGCTCTCTGCAGAAGAGGTGGTCCCTCTTCCCTTGCCATCTAAGCCTTTCCAGTGGCCAGGAGGTTAACTGGTGAGCCCACCCTTTTAGGGGTGGGACAGGGGCCTCCCCAGCTGCAGTTCACTGGGGTGACCCCCTCCCCAACTGGCTCCTTGCATCCCTCTTAGTGCCCCGTCAGGAGGGTACAACCACGCCAGCCCTCGAAATGTGCCCACTGAGGCTGCCAGGGAAGCAAAGAGCCCCTCCGACGCACTTTTAAGGGCGCAGTGTCCCCTATGGGGCATTGGTCCTCAGTCCAGCTGTGTTGAGGCTAGGCCTTGGAGCCACTCAGGCCCCTGGACTTGCAGGGTCACAACCCATGCCCAGTGGATGACCAGTGTCCCCCCATCATCCCGCTGCTCCCCCCTCCCTGCCATGTACTTCGGGGCCGGTGCCCCAGCCTGGGCCGCTCTGTCTGCTAATTACCAGTGTGGGAACAGCTTTATGGTCCTCCGGGGCCCTGAGAGAGCCCCCCACATCTGGTCAATTAATGCTGAATCTGTAATTCGGATGACATACAACCCCGGCCAGCTTTCCAAATGAGGCGATTAAAAGGCTCTTCCCCTCCTTCACCGAAGAACAAGCAAAACGGGGCCTTCTTTATTTCTCGGGATTGATGGGCCCTGCCCGTGACCTTTGCTAGGACAAGAAGTATTATCAGGAATACTTCTGTATTTCCCGACTCTGCAGGCTGCATAAATCTCCTATCAACTCAGGCAGGCGGGGAAATCTGTCGCCGCTGTTATTAATACGAGCACTTTGCTGGAGGAAGGCAGGCCGTTGTCAGGGGGGCTCGGGGAGGGGCCAGGAGGGCCCGTGCCACTCGGCCCACATTCACCTAAGAAGAGGTGCAGTTGTCCTGACCTCCAGGGCCACTGACTTCCCGCTCCCCCAGTACTCCTGGGGTACCCTGCCTCCCCTGTCCTCCCTCCTCCTCCCTGCTCCCACCCTCCTCGCCAGAACCTAGAGAGCGGTGTACCCCAGATGTCTCATCTCAGGGTTAGGGGCTGGGTGGCTGCCAGTGCCTGCCCTGAGGGCCTGAGACCCAGGGTGCCGACCTGTGCCTCCTGGGGTGGCTTTAGGTCAGGCAATGCCCTGTTCATCTGTGGCAGGATGGGTTGGGCCCGTGTCTGCCCCCACTGCACTGCAGACCCGATTATGAGGCTGAACTGGGCGCAGTTCAGCTGGGTGCAAAAGCGAGGGCTGTGGGCTGGATGCCTGGCTCCGGGTGCGGGCCCCGGGCTGGGCGGGGCGTAGGCAATGCTGGCAGAGCTGTAGGGGAGCCTGGCCAGAGCCTGGTGTGTTTGAGCTTCCCCGGCTCCTCGGGGTGGGGGGAGGGTCCCTGCTATTTGTTCTCCAGTTCTCCTCGGGAATAACACTTATGAGGCATTGTGTGTGAGTGTGTGAATGGGTGTGTGAGTGACAGTGTGTGAGTGTAAGAGATTGTGAGTGACAATATGTGCATGTCAGAGTGTGTGTGTGGTTGTCAGTGTATGAGTGACAGGAAGTGTGTGTGGTTAGTGTGTGAGTGATGGGGTGTATGTGTGTGGTTGTGAGTGTGTGAGTGAGTGACAGTGTGTTTGTGGTTGTCAGTGTCTGAGTGAGTGAGGGGGGGTGTTTGTGGTTGTCAGTGTCTGAGTGATGGGGAGTGTGTGTGTGGTTGTGTGAGTGAGTGACAGGGAGTGTGTGTGTGTGTGTGTGGTTGTCAGTGTGAGTGACAGGGAGTGTGTGTGGTTGTCAGTGTGTGAGTGAGTGACGGGGTGTGTGTGTGGGGTTGTCAGTGTCTGAGTGATGGAGAGCATGTGTGTGTGGGGGTTGACAGTATGTGAGTGACAGGGAGTGTGTGTGTGTGAGTGTGTGAGTGACGGGGTGTGCGTGTGGTTGTCAGTGTGTGAGTGAGTGAGTGAGTGACAGTGTGTGTGTGGTTGTCAATGTGTGAGTGAGTGATGGGTGTGTGTGTGTATTTGTCAGTGTGTGAGTGAATGACGGGGGTGTGTGTGTGTGTGTCAGTGTGAGTGACGGGGGTGTGTGTGTGGTTGTCAGTGTGTGAGTGAATGACGGGGGTGTGTGTGTGTGTGTCAGTGTGAGTGACGGGGGTGTGTGTGTGGTTGTCAGTGTGTGAGTAAATGACGGGGGTGTGTGTGTGTGTGTCAGTGTGAGTGACGGGGGTGTGTATGTGGTTGTCAGTGTGTGAGTGAGTGAGTGATGGGGTGTGTGTGTGTATTTGTCAGTGTGTGAGTGAGTGACGGGGTCTGTGTGTGTCAGTGTGTGAGTGAGTGAGTGACAGGGTGTGTGTCTGGTTGTCAGTGTGTGAGTGAGTGACGGGGTGTGTGTATGTGTGAGTGAGTGAGTGAGTGACAGGGTGTGGGGGGCTAGACAGCACGTGCAGGCGGAGGACAAGCACCACAGTCTGGCTCTTAGTGGGGAAAGAGGTGGCCCTCAGGGTCAGGCCAGGGTGCATGCCCTGGCCCCACCTTACCTGCCCTGTGACCCTCAGCATCTCACTTTGCCTCTTGGAACATGTTTTCCGGGCTGTAAAATGGGGACACTGCTGTCCCCGAGGGTCCGAGGGGGATAAATGGGATAAGACTGTACTCACTGCATGGCCTGGCAGTGGGGGACCTGAGATGGCATTCTTGGGGGAAAGGACAGGCTCGCAGAAGTGGACTGAGGACAGTGGGAGGCTGGGTGCCCTTTGGGGGGTAGTAGGGGAGCTTTAGCCGGGACTGTGGGAAAGCCCCTTTGTCCTGGTGTTGGAGACCGGAGCCAGGTCACACCCTGTGTTGCAGGGGCCACTGGAGACCGAGTTGGAGAAGGGGCCCGGCCGCCTGCCCTTCCCTCATCCTCCCAGCGTGCAGAGCCCCTCTGACCCCGGTGGCACGGTGGGGTCATCCTGATGATCTCTGGCAGAAGGTCTGGTGCTTCAGTCAGATCTCAGGAGAGTGCCCGATCCCAAAGTGCAGGGCCCTGAGCTGCTTCATTTCAGGGAATTTCATTGTTTGGCCAGAGTTTCCCCCCAACTTGCTATGCACCCCCACCCGCACCCTCGCACAGACAGTGGGGCTGAGGGCCCTGACTCCGGAGGGGACGGGAGAGGGTGGCCGGTGCGGAGGGTGAGCGGGTTGGGAGCATTGGGAGGGCCCCCATTCTCCCCTGGTTCCCGAGGACCGCCCCCTGGCTGCTGCTTTTTTTTTCTAAAAGGAACTCGTATACGCATATCACGGTCACTTGGTGTTGGAAATGTAACTGATTCCTGAGAGAGTCTTGGTCTCTCTGGGAAACTGTACAGAAATACGGAACGCCTCACGAATTTGTGTGCCATCCTTGCGCAGGGGCCGTGCTGATCTCTGTTGTTTCAGTTTTAGTCTCTGTGCTGCCCAGGCGAGCACTGGCATCTTTATAAGGGGAGCCGTCCTCTCCTCTGGTGGCTTCACCGGCACTGGATCGGGGTGTGGGGGGCCCTGGACCTCAAAGTGCCGTGGGGTGGGCCGCCAGTGGTGGGAAGGGCCTCCGCACTGGGCTGGGCAGGAGCTGTGCGCCCTGGGCCGTGGGCACGGAGGTGGGCACGGGGCTGCTGCGGCCCACGCCTCCCGGTGATGCCCCGGGACCCCGGGCGGTGGGTTGGCAGCCCTGCGGTGAGCGCTCGGCCTCCTCCAGGACTCGGTCTGCCCCTCTCCCACATCCCACTTTCTCTTCGGAGAGGCATTCCTTCAGCCACTCCTTCCCCAAGGGCACAGCCAGGCGCTGCTGTGGGTGCTCAGTAGTCTTCCCGAGCACAAAAGACAAGGATTCTGCCCTCTGAAAGTGACATCTGGTGAAACAGTTTACGATGGTGGAATGTTCTAGATCAGTGATGCCCAAAGTGGTGATTATGGAGGACTTGAAATGGGACTAGTGTGACTGCGGCTATGAAGTCTCCGTTTTATTTAATTTATTTCAATTTAGATTCATGGCACCTGTGGACAGTGCCATTTTAGTGGGCAGAACAGTCGGGCAGGCGCCGGCTTCCTCCTTTCCTGACCCCACACTGCGCCGCGGGGACCTGCGTGTGTGTCTTGGGGAGCTTGGCTCCACCCTCGACGGGAGGAGCATTTCTGGCCGCACCCCCTCCTCTGCTTAAACATAGCAGATTCTATGTGGAAACAATGTTACCTCACCAGAACACAGCTCCTTGAGGGCGGGGCCTTCTTTTCTCTTGGTTTGTATGTTTCCCTTGCAGCCCAGGGCTTGGCCCTTCGGAGGCTGCGCAGGTATCTGCTGCACGCATGCGTGCTTGCATTCTGACAGTCCCAGCTCTGCCAGTTGCCAGCTGTGTGACCTTGGGCAAGTGTCTCAACCTCTTCAGCCTCAGTGGGTGAGAATAGCAACGGCACCACCTCACAGGGTTGTAAGGGGGCTTAGGCCTGGGATGCCCAAAGATGTGGAGTCGGGCGTGCTCCGTGAGTTTCTGCTGGGAGCAACGGGAGCCGTGCAAGTGGCGGTGCCTGGGCGTCTCTACAGGCCTCCTCTCTCCAGGCTGCTCCCTCCTGCTCCCTGCTCTGCTCAGCCGGCTGGGGAAGACCGGGATTGCATTTGCATGTGCATGTGAACGAGTGTCCCCTCAACTTGAGAGTTGCAAGGAAATGGAGCAGTCATCATCACTTGTCCCTTTGGAAACAGCCCATAGACCCTACCAAGTGACCTGGCTGGGGTCACACAGCTACTTGGTCCATTGTGGAGCTGGGACTGATAGGATCAGTGGGATTTGGTGTCCCAAATCCCTGTCCAGTGGGTCATTGTTGCTGGCTGTCACCTACTTAAACAGCCCTGTCCTCGCTGCACAGCTCTGCCAACAGCCGCCTGCCCAGGAGTTGCTCACTCTGGAGCACCCTGCTGGAGGGACAGGCTCAGGGACAGCCAGAAACACCTTGCCCTGCCCTCTCCAGCAAGGAAGCTGCCCTGGCAGGCAGGGTTGGCCTGGCCTGGCCCTCTCCAGCCCTGCAGACTCTCAGCAAGGCCACCTGTGCCAAGTAACTTAGCTTCACGGAGCCTCAGTTTCGTAATCTGTGAAATGGGGCCACTGCTGCTGCGCCTCAGAGGTGGTGATAAGAGAGAGAAATTCCTTGCGGTGGCAGCGTGAGACGAGGCCCGGTGCTGTGGGGAACCTTGGGAAAGGCACAGCCCTAGAGGACCTTGAATGGATTGCCCGGTCCCCTTCCCCTGACTCCCCAGCCACCGCTCAGGGTCCTGGAGTGTGGCTGCCCATGGCCTTGGTACTTGGAGGCACAAGGTCGAGCTTGGCCTCTCAAGTCACCCTAGGGGGCTTCCCAACAGGGCCTAGTGACGTGTGTGCTCCTGCAGCCCCTGCCGGGCCACTTGCCTTGATTCTGCCCGTCCCAGAAGCCTCGCGTCATCATACGGGCAGCCCGGTGGCCTGAGGGGGGAGGCACGTTCCCACAGCCAGATCGCCTCCTGCCCTCTCTCCCGCATCCCCTTCCCCTCCATTCCCTCTCCTTCCTGCTCCCCATCCTTCCTGCCCCCACAGCCAAGCCCCTTAGCCTCCCCTCCCTCAGGCCCCTCTGCTCCCCCCTCCCCTGCCCTGTGCCAGCTCCCGCCTGTGTGAATGTCTAATCTCCAATTTTATTTGCTGGGCTCTAGTCCATTTGCATAATCCACATAGTCACCCTGGTTTTAATTGCCCACAACTCTGCAGAAAGATCATGTGGTTAAGTGGTAAATCATAATTAGATAAATAATTGGTTTGGCCACAGCAAGCTGCTTTTGTTACACCTGCCATCTGCTGGACCCGTTTTTTCTTCTGGCCAGAACAATGCGGTTCTGATGACAGGGCATGCTGCTTCTCTCTGATGGGGGGGGCGGGGGGCGGGAGACGGGGGAGGGGCTGGGCGGAGGGGGTTTGAATGGAGGGGCTCGGAAGCAGGGCCTGGAAGATTGCCCGGTCGCTGGGGTCCCGCCTGGCCTGCTTGTGTGCGTCTCTCCCCCTCCCCCTCCCTCTTTCCCCACCCCTCTCTCTGAGCAGGGCGCACTGCACATCCACCATTCATTACCCGGCTTGGTTAATGCATCAGAGTGGCAAATTTGACTCCGTTGCAGAAAAGGGCGGGAGGAGAGGAACCTAGGGGCGGAAGCGAGCAGCAGGGGCCACCCTGGACCTGGCCGGCCTGTGGTCTGCCCAGCGGCCCTGTCGGCCAGGGCAGGAGGCCTGCTGTGGAGGGCCTGGGCCCAAACCCAGAGACTGCGGGGCAGGTGGGCAGAGGTTAGAACCTTCAGAATTCCCTGCCCACCACAGTCACCTTCTCCATCTGCTCTTCACTGGAGGGGCCTTCATTATCCACGTTCCGGGCCCCATCTGTGAGCCCAGGAGTCTCCGGGGGGCCTGGGGATCCTAGGCTGGCCCGGTTGCCTGGCTAGGGCCTTCTGCAGGGGCCGACTGCCGTTCACGTTGCTCTTCCCCTGGGCCTCAGTCCCCCCGGAACTGCTTTGGACTGCCCTGGTTCACTCACTCCCATGTGCGTTCATTCAGTCACTCAGCAAACTCGAGGTGAGCATGTTCCTATGTGAGTGTGAGCTCTAGACTTCATCCCTGGGAGTCAGACCTCGCTGTGTGACTTGAGCAGGCTTCGTGACCTCTCAGAGCCTGCTACTTCACCTGTAAAGCAGGGACTGGAACTGTCCCTGCCTTGTGGACTTGTTGGGTCATCAAAGGACAAGATATGGATAAAGTCCATCTGGTAACCCTGCACTGAACATAAGCTCAGTACCGGTGCTCGGTGGTGGGGAAGCAGAGATGGCTGAGTATGGGGGTGGGGCCATGCTGCCCCCCCTCCCCCCCGTCCCATTCACGGATGCCTGTGAGGCTGTGCGGAGCTCAGTAACGGAGGAGGCACCCAGTGTGGTGGGAACATCCCCCGAAGGAGGGGGTGTTGGAAGGGAACCCAGGTGCTCTGGAGAGGAAAGGCAGGGGACCGCCCAGACGGGAGGGACATCCCTGACTCCAGAGCATCTGTGTTTCTTCTCTGGACAGACAGGCCCCTGCGGCCCCTCCCCAGACAGCACTGTCCCCGGAAGGCCGGGCTGACCTGGTCTACTGGGTCGCATCTGTGGAAACCTGGGAAGTACTTTTTCTCTTTGGTGGCTCCACTTCTCCTTGTTCGCCTGACAAAAGGCAGCCTGAGTGCTCAAGGCCTCCTTGCTGGACCTGGACAGGGACCTCGCTGGGGAGGGAGGGATGGGTCCTCCTGCCCGGAACCCCTGGGCCAGGTTGCCAGCCTTCGGTGTCAGAAAATACTTGTATTTTCCTCCCTGAAAACCCCAAGGCCTGTTGGGGGACTCGGAACATACCTGTGTGGCCGACACTTTGGAATGTCAGATAGTTTCTGTTTTTGTATCCATCCATCCATTCCTTACCGATCTTCCTTTCCTCCATCTCCCCGCCGTCCCTCCTCCCACCCTTCCACCCGTCACCCATCACTCCTTGTCCTCTCTCCCTCCCTCCCTCCATACTCCCTGTACTCGATCTGAAGGCAGGCACTTTTCTCTGGCAGAGACTCGGCTGTGTCTCACTCCCCAGGAGAGGGGTGCACTTGCTCCCCTGACTCCATCATGATGGTCCCCCTGAGGAGAGTGGGGGAGCCTCAGCTGCACACTTGTCACTAAGGTGGGACACGAGGCCTCACAGCAGTTTCCTAGCAGGAGCCCCTCAGCCTTCTGCGATGCTTTCTAGACTGCAGCTTTCCTGGAGGCCCCCTTGGCGGGGGGTGGGGGGGGCTGGGGGTGTGACGCACTGGAGCCACTGCTCCAGGTTCTTCCCAAAACCCCGACCTCAGATCCTCGGCCTGGCTCCTTCGTGAGCCCCCCCACGTGTGTCGCTCAGACTGAGCATCTCAGCCGCCGGCTCAGACAGCATGGTCATTGTTACGTCCTGTTGGGTTGGCCAAAAGTCCGTTTAGTTTTCGCCATAAAATAGTAAAATAAAAGACACGTATTTTAGTTCCACCGAAACTTTATTGATGTGGATATTTTGAGTATGTTGGCTCTCTCCTGCTATTGGCTTCCAGGGGGTAGAGCCTACAGGTGCTGCTGACATCTCCCAGTGCATCAGGCAGCCCTGCAGCAAAGAATTATCTGGCCAAAGTGTCAGTAGTACCAGGAAACTTCACAAACCACTTCTGACACGTTTGATCAGTCACAGCACCTTCTCCATACACTTCAGAAATCTTTTCTTTTTGAGTTTCAGTTGTGTTTTTACCTTTCTGGAAATAATAAAGCATAGTATGTCAAAAATGTATATATTCTTCCATCTTCAATATTAAAATGGCTGCACAAAAATTCACCAATTTTCATAAGGTTTTTTAAATGCACGTTGATATGACAGCTGTCACAATACAAT